AGAGACCTCCCAAGGCTTAGGTCTTGCAAACTCAGTGCAGCAGCCATGGCTTCCTTGATTGAATCATTCCAGCTATAGTGTGATCGCCCCTTTTTCCTTCTGCTTTCCACTTTTCCCAACATTATCGTCTTTTCCAGTGGGCCATGTCGTCTTATGTTGCGTCCAAAGCCCGACTTTAGTCCTTTTGGCTTAAGGGGAGTTCAGGCTTGATTTGCTCTAGCATCCATGTATTTGTCTTTCTGACAACCTATGATACCTGTCCATTGACATCTATTGAGTCAATGGGACTTCCCTGTGTGTTGATTCACTGCTCAGCCATTGATTCCACAGGTCTTTGGGGTTAAGGCATAAGATTGGGGCAGAAAACCGCAAGACCTTTGCTGATGCGATTACCTGAATTTTTCAGCTCTCTTCTGGGGCTTATTATGGGGCCTGTTGTAAAAACTTTAACATTTACCTCTCTACCACTGGTGTGATTGGCAAAACAAACCAGCTTCTCCTCTCCATCCCAAGGGTGCACAGAGGCCATTTCCCAGTTTCCGCAGAGCAATCTTGCAGGAGAAAACTCCCAGACTGCTTCCGGAAAGACAGGCAAGAGAGAGGCTGTTTTTTATTTTTCAGGCAAATATTTGTGCTGGATGAATCAAAATGAGGTACCAAAAGCTCCCTCACCTACAATTCACTTTTCATGAATGCCGTTGCCAGGAAGAGATGATTGCAGAGAAGTCGGCAAGTGCAGAGCCAGAAGGTAGAAGCGTGAGAGGCTGAATTGCAGTGGCAGCATTATTCCAGCTCCAACAAACAAGAAATCTAACCTGGAAGCCAATGTCATGCCTTGTGTTCAGATCAGAATACCATTTATTGATTTATTTTTTGCATTATTCCATGGACCATAGCAGTCAACATTTGTTTGTCTGTTTTACTGAATGCAAGGCTGCTTCCTTTCACCCGATCTGTTCAACTTGTATGCAGAACATATTATAAGAAAAGCAGGCTTGGACACAGAAGAAGGAGGAATGAAAATAGGAAGAAGGAATATCAACAATCTGAGATATGCAGATGACACCAAAATACTAGCAGAAAACCTCACAGGCCTGGATCAACTACTAAGGAAGGTCAAAGAAGAAAGTTTAACTGCCACTTTAACTGCCATGGCTCAATGCATGGGATTTGTTGTGGCACCAGAGCTCTCTGACAGAGAAGACTAAATATCTTACAAAACTACAAACTCCAGAATCCCATAGCATTGAACCAGGGCAGTTAAAGCAGTGTCAAAGTGCATTATTTCTGCAGTGTAAATATACAGCCTCAGAGCATGAAAAGGACTGCTCTGAGCTGCAAGGAGAAAGAAGCCAGAGGTGCACTCCATTTGACAGAAATCCATCATATCTTTCCCCAGACTGAGCTGAGACTCTGTAGCATCCCCTCCTCTCACCAGAGAAGAGAAGAGACAGTTAAGTGGTGACATGATGGCCATGTTTACATACTTGAAGGGATATCATATTGAGGATGGAGCAAGCTTGTTTTCTGCTGCTCCAGAGAATAGGACCCAATGGAGCAATGGATGCAAACTGCAGGAAAAAAGATGCCACCTAAACATTAGGAAAAACTTCCTGACTGTAAGAGCTCACCTAGGATCCTATGTCATTTTGGGAACCACAATTCAAGAAGAATATGGACAAGCTTGAGCATGCCCAGAAGAGGGAGACCAAAATGGTGAAAGGTCTGGACACCACCAAGTCCTATGAGGAACGGCTTAGGGAGCTGGGGATGTTTAGCCTGGAGAAGAGATGGTTTTTAAGAGGGGATATGCTAGCCCTGTTTAAGTATTTGAAGGAATGTCATCTTGAGGATGGAGCAAGCTTGTCTTCTGCTGCTCCAGAGAAGAGGACACAGAGTAATGGGTTCAAGCTCCAGGAAAACATTAGGAGGAACTTCCTGAGAGTAAGAGCTGTTTGGCAGTGGAAGATGCTGCTGCCTTGGAGTGTTGCAAAGTCTCCTTCTTTGGAGGTTTATAAGTAGAGGTTGGTTGGTGCTCCATCCCAGGGAGGGCTTGGATTATGTCTTCCAGCATGGCAAAATGAGCTTGGACTGGATAGCCCTTGCGGGTCCCTTCCAACTCTGTGATTCTAGGTTTCATACAATCGAGGTGCCTGGATGTCCTAACTACAAAGGAGGACAAGGCACTGCAGAATGCGGGACATTCAAGAAAAATGTAGGCTGTTACAAAATAAAAGCTAAAAACACGCCTATAAATATGGATTCATGCTTTTTAGCCATACTCAAAATGGGGGATATTTTGGAATTTGTCTTGGACGGAAGGCTGAAATGTAGGACATCTCCTGGGAAAAGAGGATGCCTGATCACCCTGTACAATATAACCGACCCAGAGCAGGTACCTTTTAGGATTTGTGCCGTCAACCTTTCTCATATCCTCATCTCTCCCTGAAACTGCGCTGAAATGGGGTCCAGCTATTTTTTGCATTTCCTGCATCTGAGTAGCCTTTACTGCAAAGACAGCAGATAGTTAGTGGCTAGCAGGAGGAAAAGGAAAATCCAATTTAATCTTTGCATCCCAGGTCTTCCATTTTCTTTAGAAGCCATTGTTAATATCAGAATGCAATCGGCATCCTAGGATACAATGTGCCGGAAGCATCCCCTTTCTTGCACCGGCGGCGTGTCTCCTGTTTCATGGATTGGGAAGAAGAAGAAGAAGGGCATTGTTTCTTCTGTTCTCATTCTCATTTTATGCTCTGGACAAATGCTTCTATCTTTTAGAGCCTGCGTTGAATCTTGCATTACTTATTTCTCAGCTGCTTGTGGTTTTTCTATTACTTTCCGCCAGGGATTTCATTTTGTTTGGAGGGAAAAAACCCCCAAACCTTGGCGTTGTTAGAAAAATGAAATACAACTGGAAAAATTCTTGTCAACATGCATCAAAGTAACTTTTGGAAGTAACTAGGAAATGTTATTTGTTCTACAAACATTGGCCTGAATCTTATTGGATAGTTTCAACAAGGGCAGAGTCATTGAATCAATTAGTTAAGAGTAAATCAACTAGTTAGCAATAAGTCACATTATACATATATTGCATTGACCTGAATCCTAATCCAACTAGAGTAGACCCATTGAAAAAGATGGGATTGACCTACTTTGTTGACCATTCAACAATTGACTCCATGGATCCATCTCTAGTTAGGATTATCAACAGGACTGACACCATAAAATAACTTTATTCCTATTAATTCTGTTATTGTTGAAGTGCAAGTTAATTACACTCTTTTTCCTCCCCAGAAGGAACTGTTGTTTGTTTGTTGTTGTGTATCTACAAGTCATTTGGGCAAGTCACCCAAAGGTGAACCTATCATAGGCAAGTTTCTTCTGAGAGGCTTTTTGCCATTGCCATCCTCTGAGGCTGAGAGAGTGTGACTTGCCCAAGGTCACCCAAAGGGTTTGATGCTGGAGTGGGGAACTGAACCCTAATCTCCAGAGTTGTAGTCCAACACTCAGACCACTAGACCACGCTGGCTCTACTTTAAAGGAACTACTTACAAGTAATTATGTTACTTGTAACTCATTGCTTCCAAGCAATGGTGTAGTAGTTTGAGTATTGGATTTTGACTCTGGAGGTCAGAGTTCAATTCCCAGTTCAGCCATGAAACCCAGTGTGTGACCTTGGGCAAGTCGCATTCTCTCAGCCTCAAAGGAAGGCAATGGCAAACTGCCTCTGAACTAATCTTGCCAAGAAAATCCTATGATAGGTCACCGTAAGTTGGAAATGACTTGAAGGAACACAACAACAACAACGATAATTTTTTACTTATAACTCATTGCTTCCAAGCTTTGCTTTAAATTTTGGAGCGTTGCAACTGGTTGCAGATTGATGATGGTTGTAATATTTTATGCCGCTTGGAATATCT